CTTCAGACGTTTCCTAGAGATTAAAAAACAGTGTTTCCTTAAGTTTCTATTGGTCAATCAAAGTGATCATGGTTATTGATATTTAACAACTAATATGACATTTTTTAACTAACATTTGTGTAATGTTCAAGCATCAGCTGTTAGAAACAGTGTTTTTAATCAGCTGATTTCAGGTTTTTGCTTTTGATGCCAGCCTATTCAGCTTTGCTGCTTGCTGACAGATGAAACTAAATTGAGTGCCCTGATAAATTCACTATTGTCCATTTTTTTCCTTTCCATTTATTGTTAAAAAAACTGCAACTTTCAGTTTTTTCTTTGGTTCATCTTGAGAAAGGGTTTTGTTTCAGTTACTCCAGATATGTAACGCCACATTAAAGTTTGTGTTTTTATTTTCTCCTTCTGATAATTGGACATTTACCTGTATAATGTGCGCACGTGCGGAGGTTATCAGGGAGCGGGCAGGCGGACCACAGATGACAGCGTGCAGGAAAGGAGGGGAGATCTTATTTCTAGCTGCAGAGCGGGTTTGTTTAATGTTATTTAATGTTTTTTAACGTCCTACAGGCTCTGAAATGCAAAACAAAAACAAAACTGAGGTTTTGACAAAAGTCAGTAGCACGATTTGAATGCATTTTAATCATTTATTTATTTTTAGTTCATTACACACCCGCCACGGTGGCGGGCGCGTTGTTCAGATCTACACGCCACTTCATAATTTTACCCACATTTGGCCAGTGGTGGGTGTAATTTCCACCCCCGTTTATAGTATTACAACTAAAACCGTTTTTGACGACGCCACCGCAGTTTGTCCTTCATGACCATTCGTAGACAAGATGGCGGTGCAAGATGGCGGCTGCCTGTAGTGGACAGCGACCATGGAGATATAAACAGCTTTTTATAAGGTAAAAATAATAAAACAAGGTCTTTGTCTGCAATGATTAGACATGTTTTTTATTATTGTCATTAGTGATTATCTCAATTTTGGCTAAAAGAATTGACAAAATCCTACACACTGTGCCTTTAAAGCTTCATAAAATATGTTTGGTTTGATGTTTAATAAAATAAAACTTTACCTTCTGAACGTGTCAAAGACGAGTGAATCGTCTGTATGTTTAGCATCTCTGTGTCCAGGAGGCAGGCACACATCTCCTACTTCAGTTTCGTAGCATGGTATCCCATAATGCACCACAGTCAAGCTGGGGTAAAATGACGACCACCCTGGCAGAACGAAGGTGAGCGTTAGAGTGAAAACTGATTATTTTTCGATCAGCGTCACATCCTCAGCCTCACTCGTACCTTTGTTTTTCACGTAGAAGGGGTGGTCCAGCTGGCACCGGGCGGTGATGGGGGTGTGTCCAAACACCCCGGGGTCGAAGGTTAACTGCAGGACTGCCTGACCAGACAGCACCGTCTCTTCGTGCTCCACCAGCTGCAGCCCCTCAGAGCCGTAACTCTGCACAGAGACATGAGTTTTTAACCACACTGACTCTAAACAGGCTGGACTCGAACCTCCGTCGTACCTTCAGAAATCCTGAGCGCTCCTCGTCGCCACGGTCCGTTTCACCAGACCCCAGGTCCTCCACGTCCTGCCACTCTACGTTTGAGCTGCTGTGGAAACGCAGGCGAGTTCCTRAAATCAGACGAGCATTTTAGATACAAACGTTACTGTGAAAGTAAGACTAAGCAAATCTGAATTATTACTAAACAGATCACTCAACATATCTGGAGTCCTGACTTCTTGGAAATCTTAGGATTTTTATTTTTTGGTCAAAACACTATTTATCACAGGGTGACCAGGGGAAGGGGACAATAGCATCCTTTATAAATTTGCTGCCCACCCTTTTCCACTTTCTTAACCCAAAMCAATCTGCCAAATTTTAAATGCTAATCAAAAAATCAAAACGGCCGCCAAAGCTAACTTAAAAAAAACCTATTATCATAGGCGTCGCAACAATAGTAAGTGAAGGGGACGTGTCCCCCCCCCCACACTTTTCAAAAGTATCCGTTTGGACCCCTCCACATTCATCTCATCAGTTCACCCAGCGCTGTTTTTGTTAGGCGACTTGATGAAAGAATCCATTCAGCTTGATTGATAGGAGAAATCTCATCACACTAAATGTCCACTCTAGGTTTTCCTAGTTACCTCCAGTCAGCACCACAGCCTGCAGGTACCAGTAGGAGCCAGCAGCCGGAGTGCAGTTGTCCGACGTTAGACTGCCTCCACCGGGTTAGATGGGAGGAAGATGACTGTGAATTCCATGAGCGCAAATATTCAACCTAAAACTAACT